GAGGAGGATGAGCCATAACTGTTGTTATCTGAGCAATTATCACCACCTCGAGTGGAAGCAAGAACAACAACCGCACCACCGTCGCCGCCACCACCACCGCTACCGCGATAACTTGAGGAAGCGGTTGCTGCAAGGAGTGATCGTTGACGCTTTGTTCGCCTTCCTTTTGTTGTGAAACTTGAGAACTCTTCTTCTGTTGATTCCATAATGAGAGAATAAATAAAAATAATATGCTTATTTATTTTTTGAGAGAATTGGAGTGAGTGAAGGAGAGTGAAAAAGAGGGTGTGTTTGTGTGCATGTATATATATGCAAATACAGAGGAAATAAATAAAGTAGAAAGAATAGAGGGGGCTTGTGAGAGTCAAAAGTTGTCCTTTTTAAGAAGAGCCCACCCTTTTTAATAAAAAAATAACAAATTTTTACGGTTATCGTACATTTTTTTAATTATCATCTGGATATTTATTTTTTCAAAAGCAATTATGTAAATGAGAATTGATCTCAGTCTCTCATATATTTGATACGTCTTCTAGGACTTTAATCAACTAAATTAGTTTGCATTTACAATATTCTCAAATTTTATTATCGCAGACAGATCAGATATTACAAGATCGAAATCGTACCACCTACTACTACTCCACTAATTTTCTACTACATACAAATTAATGTTAAAAATTCGAAGATCAAAGGATAGTTTAGACCTGTATAAATGAAAGGATCAGGGTTTACAATACGTGTTAAATATGAGTCTGGGCCGTACCCACAAAACAAGAGAGAGGTCTATTTCACAAGTTCAAAGAAGATTACATCCCAAATGGCCAAAATCATATGACAATAAAAAGAGTAGTCATTTAGTCTTATAAAGTGTTTGATCTCTCTCTTCTTTGACTAGTGAAAGACACTCACTTACATGTGATGACACTTGAGAGGTTTATTTTTCAACAGTACGAAACGGACCGGACGATGAGTATAAATGAAAAATGTAAAATAGTAGAGGGGGTATAGTATAATTAAATGTGTGCGTTACCTTAACATAAAGAGGAAAGGGAGTGGGGGGGAGATTCTTAGTTAACTTAGGAGGGACACTTGGGTAAGTACAAAATTAAAAATGACGCCCTTTGAGTGCGCGTGAAGATAGACGTGGTGAGTGATCGAATGGAATAGTGATCACACACGTAGTCGCCAAGGAAAGGAGTACTTCTACTACTTCTAACTTAAATTCTTTCTTTTTGCAACGTCATATATTATGACTTTGTCTTAATTAAAATCTTATTATTATTTTATTAACATTATTATTAATTAATAGTGTTATTCTTGCCTTTAACACTCAACTTAATTTAAAGAAGTAACCTTAAGTTAAGTACTTGTACTACTAGTTCATTCAACTCTTCTATCTATTTGTTGGTTTCTTTTAAACTAGAAACTCATGTTTCCAAGATTATCATCTTTTTTTAATGCTTATTGGTCTTAAACTCAATTTATTATATTGAGGTTAGTTTTATTCCTCGTGTTAATAGAGTATAATAACACATCTATTATATTCTCTTAACATCTTGTTAAAAGATTTGTTTTTACTATTGAATTGATTATTTAGCTTATCGAGAGGTGTATAATATGTATGATAGTTAAAATGAGATTGAAGAAGTAAAATTCTACTCCGTAGACTGTAGTAATTGGGCTAAGGGTTTGTTCTCTTGAAATTATTTTCAGTTCAGTTCAGTTTATCTCTATAAATTTTTATGAGATAGATGGAGTATACAATTTGAAGTTTCAATCACACATCTATCACTTGCAAATGGATATTGTGTACATTACAAAAACAATAGAAATACCAAATTACCATTATGAAAAGATAGTGCCTTATAAGAAATAATAAAATAAAATAAGATAAAATGATTACACATGTTTCTTTCTTTCTTTTTTTTTCAATAAAAACTATTTCATTGATGCAACATCATCTAAGATTTAAAAAAAAAAAAAAAAAAAAAAAAGCATTCTAGTAGATCTATTAATTTACAAAGGTAACATATTTTAATTTGATTTAGAAGGGGAAAAAAAGTGCTAGAACAATGTACACCTCATTTAGCTTAGAACCAAGATATGGATTACCTTAGCTTATAAGAAGGATTTTCCAAACAAAGTACAAAAATGGGCTGCAAATCAAACCAAATTAAAAAGTCAAAGAAAATTACAAATTCACTAATGATAGACTTCTTATGCATTCCACCACAATTTAACAATTCATTATCATAATTTAATTTTCTTATGCTGATTACCCTAATTAAGGTCGAATATTCATGTTGAAAATGAGCCTTAGCAAGGCTTTATTTGTTTCAACTTGTTTTGTCTTACCACACCTTGTCTTGAATTAGAAATTAAATTCAAACAAGTTGAGTTTATAGTTAATAAAAGTTTAAATAAGTTTAAAGAGAATTAAGTTTAAAGAGAAATTAAATTCAAACAAGTTGAGTTTATAGTTAATAATGGGCATTTGATAGCTAGAGGACATTTCAACTAATTTGTTTAGAATATTTTGAACTTAAAATGCTCGTAAATACTAATAGAAGAAAAAATAATTTGGGACCTTTATAACGGATTTGGAGTTTGTCGTTCAGAAGTTAAGAGAATTTTGGGGTCTTTGTAACGGATTTTAAGTTTTTTCTTTAGAAGTTTAGAGCGCATAAAATGAGTAAACGATCTTACCTATAGATACAAGTAATGCAAGTATGCAAAAAGAGTTGTTTGTAAAATGATGCAAAGAGTATGTGATTGGCCAAAGAAAAAAAATATCCCAATGTGACGGTTTTGAGGAAGGCTTACTCAAGTGCCTACTTTTTTAAGTTGAGCAAACTATCAATTCAATACAGAGTATAATTTATCATGCATGGCACCATTTTGTACTCACTATCGAATGAATACACACTCGTTTTACAAAAGATTTATTGATACAAATTCAACACATGAGATTAATTAACCATTTATTATTTCAAAATATTTACAAATTTACCAAAAATTGGTGCCTCTACCAACCTACCACTTTTTGCTTAGATAAAAGTAAGGGGGAAAAACCGAAAAAAAAAGCTAATTTGCAATAATCATAAGCTCTTCCTATCAATGATTTTTTTTTTTTTTTTTTTTGAGGAAATTCCTATCAATGATAATATTGAAATTCCGGCATATTGTAATAAAATAAATCAAAAAAGAAAAAAGAAAAAATAAATAAAACATTTCCAATGCACATAATATTTACCTATACAAGCATGATAAATATGATGAAGCACAAACGTTAAAAGTCAACCCAAGAATATAACAGAAAGTATTCAACATTCACTAAATGTGCAAAATTTATAAATGTATCTCATTTTTGGGGATAAAATAGACGCACAAAAGAAAATGGGCAACCTTTCAAGTTTTATTAAGCTGCTACTATAGAGTTTTGCCAATTATAACAACCAAAAAAAAAATAGTCAACTTATATCATTTTTAAGAGAAGAAGTATTCCAAACATGCAACCTTTCCAATTGATAGGGGGAAGTCTTAAATTGGAAAGGGTTGTAAATTTGTAATCATTCCTACAGAGTGTGGGGCTTCTAAATAACCATAACTACACAACAAGTTGCTACTCGAAAGTTTATTGGAGGTTTATGGATATTAATGTATTATCTATGCATTGGGCCATTGACATTGGGACCCGAAACTCCTCTATATACATTTTAGGATACCCATAATTCAAATTTAATCAAGTTTAATGGAGTTAAATATAATGACGAATCTAGAACAAATATTTAGTAGGATCAAAATACAATGGTTAAGTGTGATAAAAAAAATTTATTTATAACAAGCACTTTAAAACAAATAATCATAAATCTTAGAGAAAATCTCCCAAAATTAAATGGAATTAATTGACATTACAATTGCTAAGGTAGCTGTACTTCTAATTCTGTGAATACAAAGTAAAGTATAAATGAAATAGTGTGTAATGGAGTATTTTACTAGGTTTAGGTTTTTTTTTTCTCACTTTAAATACATTTTCTAATGCAATGTTGGTCAATTATCATTTTCAGACACAAGAGTGAGGGATAGCTCAAGTGGTTAGAACTCATCTTCCGATTCATAGGATCGGTTCTCATCACCTGTCCTTATGTCTCTCTAAACACCAAAAAATCATTACCAGCCATAGGTTTTAATATTCACTATACAAATTAATTTCGTTTATTTAGATTCACTATACAAATTATATCGAATTATTGATTTTAATATTCTAAAATAATAATTTTCCCTTTAAAAAATTTAAAAAATTCCGTATTATATTGTTTCTTCCCATTTGATCAAATTTGTCTTACAAAAAGATTTTAAGAATAAAATATAAAACGAGGGAGTGATACTTTTATATTATTATATACTCCGTACTTTTTTTTCCAAAAATTAATTGGTAGCACTCGGACTGAATTAGTGAAAGATTACTTAATACTATGTAGTTAACACAAAAGTATGGAAAGTTTAGCGAATCTTAAGAACATGGGACAAAGTAGTCACGACAAATCCACACACTAATTTGATCATTTGACACTATAAACAAACAAATTTGCAACAACATAGTAGTCTAATTGTATGCCAGAGTGTAATAATAATAAAAAAAAAATGTATGATCACGAAATATATATTGTTAGCAAGACCTTAATTACTACAAGTATTAATTATAACAATATAGTTGAAATTAGTTTAAAATAGTAATCTTCAACAATCAAACAAACAAATGAAAAATAGTGCGAAGTAATTTATACCGTACACGAGTACTTCTCTTAAATATCTTTTGAATACTTTTCCACATTTCAAAACCTAGAGTAAGAGAATTTCATTTGCTTGTGCAATGGGAGGATGTAGATTGCTTCTTATGCTCAATAATTTTCGAAACACGCTCGCTTATAACAGCGACAATTCTCCTAAGTTCTAGTTATTGGAAACAGAGGGCAAAATCAACGTGCACATACACACCAACATGTGCAAATGCATGCTCATAAAGAGGGAAGTTAGTGATGCAAATTGTCATCAACATTGCATCCCAACAAACTTATTATTATTTTTAGTGGTTCTGCAAAATCAGGAACCATCTTTAGCCTCAAGATACACAATCAATAGTACAGATAAAGATACATCTCCTAGATCTTAGTACGAGTAGCAAGACAAGTAAGTTTATGGTTCACACGGTACCAGCAATAGAATTCTTTAATACGGAGTACTCACGATTTTCAGAGAACAGTCCAAAGATAAATTCATCAGATTACACTGGAGTTAAGCCAACAACACCTGCATCAAGAAAACCATTTCAAATAAGTATATGGTGGTGATTTTCGATGCTTTACATTTTACCAGTAATACTTAAACAAATGAGTGACAACTAAACAAGAACAAAGTGGTATCTAGGGATTTTTGCTTTGATCGGTTAAAAGGGTAAAGTAAGTAAACAAAAAGCATAAAATAACTTCGATATTTAAACATGTGTACGTTACGAAGTATAAAAAATGAAAATTTTGTCTCCAAACAATATTAGGGTGTACATATTCTCATATGAGTCAAATTCAAGCATATAGTTGATATTGCTATACCTGAGTGTTTGGATGTTCTGTACCACTAACAAGATTCCTATATTTGACAAACCTAACTGGATACCGATACACTCTTATTGTCAAGCTATGCCTTTAAGAAATGGTCCATATATGTCACATTTCTGAAGGGGGAATCATTTTCCTTTTCAATTTCATACTAACCTAACGAAATAGTCAAACAAAGTAAAATTATGTGCAGCACCTAAAATGAATATACAAGACTGATAAATTATCCTTACTAAACACTGTGAAAAGATTCTCAGTCAGCAATGAGCCCGCTTAGATAAAGATTTAATATACTTTAGCAAATCTGATATCTGATGTTTTGCAATTGAGTGCTTTTTCTCTGCAGACATATTCTACTATATCTCAATCGTCCCCCATAATAACATCAAGCAAGATTCTTTAAGCATAATTTGGAAATAATTTGGCCATCTATCAAGTTTGGGTCATTATCTTCAGTCAAATTAATTAAAAAGCCTTTCAAAGAAATATATTTATAAATCATCCATTATAAAAGGTACTTACAGATGAAAAAGTAGCAACATGATTTGGCATTCATTAAAAAAAATAAAAAAAAATAAAAAAAAATGAAAGTTCCTGATTAGACGTCCTCTTTACTAAATTTAAAACATTCCAAAATAAATGCTTAATCTTAACATATGTGCGCAATTCTCACCCTCTTCCTCACTCAAGGCCTCACTCCTTTGAAAATACACACCAATAGGTAGAACCGTAGAACCAGATCCCATCCTCAAGGTTGCCCCTTTTCTCTTATATATAGTAGCCTAGTAGGACACTGAACAATAAGCATCATTCTTAGGGAGCTAAGACAGAATCAAGAACCAATGAAGTATTCTACCAAATAACACGTGGGCTTTTCAGATCAACTGGTTCATTGAGCCAACCATTTCTATCTTGGGTCAGTTTGCTTTAGCAGCTTGCTTCAGCCAATTACAACTAGTAGGACTTGCAGAAATTATCCTTATCATCTTTCTTAATATAAACCTTCATCCACATCTTAGAACCAGCTCTACACTCCGCATAATACCCAGTCACCATATAGACATTACTGCATCATTTCAGACAATCTATACGCTGTGATATCTTCATATTTGAACTCATAGACAGAATAAACATAAGTGATCAGCTGTAATAAGCCTGACCATGAAAATGAATGAACAGCCTAAGCTATAGTGAGGTATATTTTTAGGTTATTACATTCTTCAACTCCTTAATGTTTTTTTCAGCTATTAACTGGATTAATTCCTTGACGCTCTCTTTTTATTTTTAGTCCGCTATTAAATGGAAAACCTCATAATCCTTTGTCAAAAGTTCAGGGAAAGATGTTTATATTAGGAATTGTAGCACTTCAAAACAAAGACTCATTCACTAGTCATAAACAACAAAACAACTACTATACACTTGTGCCTTGGCCAATAATCATTAATACAACTTCCAAAGTTACCTACTAACAATAAGCTGCAACATGCATGTAAGAGTTTGGGACTGACCAGATAAGCTCTCTTGATAACTAACACCATGGATTAAGGTAAGCATGGATGAGAAGAGATCATTTAGATGTGGACTCCATTAAATTGGTCGAACGAAAAATGGCTTTATATGGAAAATCTTTTCCAGGGGAAAATACAATTGAACATTAAACTTCCTTGGTCTCCTTGACAAAAAGGTTAGAGAGAAAAGAAAATTGGAAATGCAGGGAATGAAAATGGAGGAGAAAATAACAAAAGTATGATATAGAGTGAATGTGGCACTCCTACAAAAGGAATGGTTTTCACGCTTCGGAAAACTAATTTCTACCCTTAAAAAATCAAATAGAACCATTTTCCTGGAAAATATAACTACAGAGTTAAACACAAATTTTAACTAGTAATACATAAAGAAGGGATAAGAGAGGTGGATAGGTAGCGTCCAACTTAAAAATTGAATAAGACAATTTTAATCTACAGGACATTGTGCTTGAAAAGAAAATAGCGAAAAGAAAATTTTAATCTTCAACATTATCTCTAATCTTCAGTGGGATGGGCCTTTAAAATTTGACACTTAGTCGCTTCTGAAGAATAGTAAGTAATTTAAAGGACAGGCTCAAAATATAATAAAGAAATAAGAATCAATAAAGCTTCATTTAACCTTGTAGGTTCTGTCAGGATAAATGCCTATAAGTTAGCTGTTATACACAGCTTTGGAAACTACGCAGTAATCTACATCCAAAATAGTTTTCCAATTGCCTAAGCATATCTACACTAACCTGTTTGGGTTATTTTGTAGAGCATGAAAAATGCTAATTGAGTTTTTTTTTTTTTTTTTTTTTTAAAATGAAAGGAAGTCTTGTCTTCAAATCAGTTACAGCTTTATCAGTAAGAGATAGAGATACTTCCATGGCATATTTTTTCACAAGCAATCCTCTTAAATCTTTACCCATCCACATACCGAGCACCTTAAAATACCATCTGGGAGCACCTCATGTATCATGAAGAGAATAAATTGATGACAAAGTTCGAAATTTATCCAATAGATCCATAGTCCTGGCTTCAAGGGAGAGCCAATGAAAACTAACTCATGATATATCTCATTTTACCAAGCAACAATACATGCACTTAAACAACTTGCGCACTGGATGTGGTATTTAAGAGGGTTTCATCAAAAGTATTCAACAAGGTAGATTTAGTAATTAGGTGCAGTGAAATTGGCTGCAGGATTTAAAGATTAATTATATCCTGCAAGAACATTATACTTGCATCTAGTACTCAGCTAACACAGCTCTAGAACTCAATCCTTAAGCAAAACAATCATGCAAAGCAAGTACATTTGCACAGATGAAAACAAAAAAGGCAAACGAGCTTACCACAAGCCAATCTTCCACCAGCATTCCCAGTGGTCAGACTAAGTTCATGTCCACCTGCAAGCAAACAGAGACTAAAGTTAGCAACACAGAACCAAACTATTGTATATAAGAAAACAACCAACAAATCAACCAAGTATAAGAGATAATATACCCTTTCCAAGGTCATCCTCTAGTTCATGTACCACAAGGGCTCTACCGACAACTGAATTTGGTCCAGTCAATGGAATCTGCAAAATAAGATGCTGGAAAATTCAAAAAAGCTGGAACTTCAAGAAAGGGTGAAGAACTCTAATAGTACAACTATATAAATGTAGCATAAGCTCTTAAATCAACACCTGATTATCAACAATGGTAGCCTCAGCCACTCCTGCAATTTTCAATTTGCCAAAAAGTTATAATCTCTACAGACAGTTGAAGCACCAAGAATTTCCCCGCTTCAAGCTATTCAAGGATTCCGTAAATACAACCTCATTTAAAATCTCTTACCATCTGTGTTAGCAACAATGTTTCCCAGGTCACCCGCATGCCGGACTTCATCTTCCGGAGCACCATGTGTCATTTTATTAGGATTAAAATGTGGACCTACATCAACCAAATTCAGTAGGGGTAAGATACCAAGTAACAACCAGGGAAATGAACATCTAAACATTAATTTTGAAATAAGAGATTTGAAATCTGAAATTAAGAACCTGTGGACATGCACCCATTTGTTGTATCTCCAAACTCATGCTACACCATTTGTCCAAAAACAAAGAACAACCACAAAAATGCAAGAATTAGATACAAAAACAAGCATTACAAAAAAAAATAAAAAAAACCAGATCAAATTTAGAGAGAAAGAGATGAACCAAGTGAAATCCATGCTTCCCGGGAGTAAGTCCGGTAATACGAACATTGACTGTAGTTGGACCTGAAAAGGTCAACAACAATAACCAACTCAATCCATCATAATAAACCAAATTTTTTTTTTTAAAAATCTACGAAATGCAAAATATAATCAAAGTGCCGTAAACGTCGAAACTAATATCACTAATCAATTCAAATGACAAAAAATAATCTAGGATATACAAAATTTCAATTCAACTTCATTAAACATCAAAATCTGATAGTGCTAATCAATTCAACCACACAAAACAACAAAATGTAATCAAAATGCAGTAAACATCAAAAAAGAAAAGTAGTAATTTATTCAACCACCAAAAAAATCAACTATCTGCAAAATTTCAATCCAACTGCAGTAAATATAAGAAACTGATAGTATCAACCAATTCAAATCATCTCAATCAACTTGCAGTAAACATCAAAAAAGTAATAGCATTAATCAATTCAACCCCCAAAAAAAATTCTACAATTTGCAAAATCTTTAACAAATTGCAATAAACATACAAAAACGGGTATACATTTATCAATTCAACCCACAAAAAAAAACATTCTACAATTTGCAAAATCGTAATCAAATTGCAGTAAACACACAAAAACAGGTAACATTAATTAATCAATTCAACCCACAAAAAAACAATCTACAATTTGCAAAATTTCAATCAAAATGCAATAAACATCAAACAATGAATCAATTCGAACAAAAACTGATAGTTATAGTATTATACCATCGTCTTCCTGGGTCAAAGTAACAACACCCTCAACCTCGGAAGTACCCTTAAGAACAGCAACAGCTTTTTTGGTAGCAGCAACAATGGTGAGAGGTTTGGAGGCGGCGGGAGCGGAAAGAGAGAGGGATTGAGTGTGGGAAGAAAGCTTGAAAGAAACACCATTGAAGGAAGAAGATTTAAGGGAAGATGAAAGGGTAGTAGCAGAAGAAGTAGTGGGTGTGGAAGAGAAAGGAGAGAGGAGAGAGAATGTGGGATGTGAAGGTGCGGATGCAAGGATGCTGTGTGCTGCCATGGCTGCCAATGCTGCTTGCATTCAAAATGATGGGAATTTGAGGCTCTTGTTGTTGGAGACTGATATCCTTACCAACATATGTAGTACCTCTGCTATAGCCTATAGGGTTGTAACTTACAGCCAAATTTGTTCAACGATTAGACATTTTTCCTCTCTATTTTATATCAAATTGTTACACATAATCTGTAACTAGAGGTGGTTATTGGACAGGGTAGCCCAATGATTATAGGGTCAGGGCCAAGCTTATAGGGTTTTAATGGACATGGCTATTAATGGACAGGGCCCTTATTGGGTAGGGTCAATATAGGGCAAACATGTTTTTCCAATTTAATTGATAAAAAAATACATAATGTAAAAATAATTATATAGATTAATTTGTATTCATATGTATTTAATAATGGCTTTGTCTAATATTTATTTTAATTGATATTTTGTAGGCCCGCCCATTATCGACCCGCGGCCCGCATTGTCCCGACCCTATATTGACCCTATAAAATGTGACCCTCTTTGATCCTGACCCGCAACCGACCCGCACTGACCCTGACCCGACCCACCTAATAACTAGGTCTACCTGTAACGGAGATAGTATGTATAATTGTATAGTAATACTTGTATATGAAGAGAAGGGCTTTTTGGCGAATAAAATTTACTTTAAATACTTGCTCCACTTTTATTTTTCGATTGTTTTTAAATACTTGCTCCATTTTTTTTCGGAAAGCTTTTACAATATTTAATTCATTTCTCACACATGGTGGACTACAATAATATTCTCTCCTCCTATTTTTCCATTACTTTTGTTTTTTACAATTTTTTATTTTCTCAACTATCCCATTATCTCCATATTTTATTACTTTCTTTAATTTCTCCTAAAACTCCACGCATGGAGAAATGAAGCAAGTATTTAAAAACGGAGGGAGTACTATCCCCAAATAACCTTTCTTAATTTACAATATTACCTCTTTATTCATAATTAAAATTAAAAATTAAATATTATAAAAAAAAATTATAATAACTACCTTATCATAAATGCTTCCACCCTTTCCAAAAAAAAAAAAAAAAAAAAAAAAAAAAAAAAAAAAACCCTGCTCCCACCCGTATTATAATTGAAATTTGTTTTACAACAAAGGATTTCAAAGAGATCAAAAGAAAGCTTTTAAATACTCCGATAATTGTTGTGTATATTTCCTTTAGATTATGCGACGATTTATAGTACCCTTGCATGAACAGTGTTTACTCGATATGTTAAACACGCAGTGAAATGTCTAATCGAGCATGAGATTCTGAGCGGCGATATTTAATTTGCATGGGAAGCTAAACGGTGATGTTTGGCGGTATTCTTAATCCGTTCATATTACGCAATACGGTGCGTATTACAACACTCCCCCTTAAACGGATTTCTATAGGGTGACTCCTAATTTACATGTATGTAAAAAATAAATATTACCGCTATTGTACCTATATGTTTATCTGCCTCATTAAAACCTTACCAAGAAAAACCCTATGGGATAAAAACTTGGACGAAGGAAAAAGAGTACAGCACATATAGGGCTCCCCCTAAGTTAGCACAAATCACAAAGACGACGCATGCCGGTCATATGCACGAGTTCTTGAAATTTGCTAGGTGGTAATGCCTTTGTGAATAGATCGGCTAAGTTGTTGCATGACTGAATCTGCTTGTCATCGATCTTACCTTCTTTTTCCAAGTCATGAGTAGAAAAGAACTTGGGGTCGATGTGTTTTGTTCTATCACCTTTGATGTAGCTTCCTTTAACTTGTGAGATGCAAGCAGTGTTGTCTTCAAATATTGTAGTTGGGTCTTCTTCGACTGTTTTAATGTCGCTTTCTTTTAGTATATGTTGGGTCACAGATCGCAACCATATACATTCCCTACCAGCTCCATAAAGGGCAATCAATTCAGCTTGGTTTGATAAAGTTGTTGTTAGTGTCTGCTTGGTTGACTTCCAAGAGATTGTTGTATTGCCATAGCTGAAAAGATAACCAGTTTGTGATTTTGATTTTACTGGATCTGATAGGTAACCTGCATCAGCATATCCCACGAGAGTAGGATTTCCATTTCTTGGATAGAAGAGCCCTAAATCAATTGTTCCACGTATATAGCGAAGTAGGTGCTTCACTCCATTCCAATGTCTGCTTGTAGATTCAGAGCTATACCTTGCTAATAAGTTTACCGAAAATGCAATGTCTGGCCTAGTTTTGATGGCCAGGTACATCAAAGCTCCTATTTCACTTAGGTATGGCACCTCTGGACCAAGTACAGCTTCACCTTCTTGTCGGGGTCTAAATGGATCATCTTTGATGTTTAAAGCACGAACAATCATTGGTGAATTCAATGGGTGTGCTTTGTCCATATAGAATCTTTTTAATACTTTCTCGGCATAATTGGATTGATGAATTAAGATACCATCTTTCAGATGTTCAATTTGTAACCCGAGACAAAATTTTGTTCTTCCAAGGTCATTGATTTCAAATTCATTCATCATACATTTAGCGGTTTCTTCGATTTCCTTATGTGTTCCGATGATGTGTAAATCATCAACATACACCGCTATTATGACAAAACCATTTTCGGACCTTTTGATGAATGCACATGGACAAATTTGGTCGTTCTTATACCCTCCTTTGAGTAGGTACTCAATTAAACGGTTAAACCACATCCTCCCTGATTACTTTAAACCGTAGAGTGATTTTTTCAATTTTATGGAATGTAGCTTTCGAGGTTGTGACCTCAAAGGTTCAGGTAGTTCAAGTCCTTCGGGGACTCTCATATAGATGTCGGTATCAAGTGACCCATAAAGATATGCAGTCACAACATCCATCAAATGCATTTGTAGTCCTTTGCATGCTGATACACTTATGAGGAATCTTAGTGTCGTGGTATCTACCACAAGTGAATATGTTTCCTCATAGTCGATTCCCGGTCTTTGAGAGAAACCTTGGGCTACAAGTAAACCAGGGCACGGGCCGGGTTGGCCCGCGTGCCGCCCGGCACGGCCCGCCATTCGGCGCAGCCCGAAGTCAAGCACGGCACGGCACGAAGTTCAACTTCCATGCCACGGGCCGTGCCACGGACACGGTCGAGAATTCCCAGGCACGGCCCGACACGAGCACGGGCATGGCCCGCCGTGCTGGCCCGCAGGCACGGCCCGCGGGCCAACGGCTATAAAACGGCTAGTTTTTTGCCAAAAATTCTATAAATACTCACCTCCATTTCATTCCCAAATCACAAAATCACAATCTCTTCTTCTTATCTCTTATATTCTCTAAATCTCTAATAATCCTTATTTTCTTAAATTCTCTAATTATTCTCTTAAATTCTCTAATTATTTTCCTAATATCGGAAAAAATTAAAAAGTTCGTAATCGTAATTAGTGGAGCGTTGAAGCACGGTTGTAAGATCTAAACTAATCTTAAATTTATTATTGTTTTATTGTTATTATTAGAATAATCTTGTTTAATTATTATTGTTGTTAATTGTTATTGTTGTTGTTATAATTGTTGTTATTAATTATTATTATTGTTACAATTGTTGTTATTATTTATTTTTGTTGTTATTGTTATTGTTATAGTTGTTGTTATTAATTATTATTATTGATATTTTTATTGTTAAAATTGTTGTTATTAATTATTATTATTATTATAGTTAACCACTTTTTATTAAAAAATTAATTGTTAATTATGGCATCGAACAACCCATCATCTAGGTCTAGGGGGAAAGGCCGACTTATCCGTAGTAGTAGTTCTAGGGAACCACCAAATACAACGAGCCCCCAAATTACGAGTCAAACCAATGACCCCATTTACTTCCCCCCGGGCTATGAGCCATATAATACGTCGGGATTTCCAGCACCACCACTAAACCAATTTCCACTACCACCATACCAATTTCCACCTAATTATATCGGTAATCAACAAAACTATTGTTCTAGCCAAGGTAGCCAAGAAAGTACCCGAATTCCCTCCGGTTCTACCCCTTCTACTGCCACTCCCACTAGTCCCACTACTAACCATCACACACATCATGAATGGTTAACCGAAACTGAGATGCTACTTTTGAAAAACCGAAGGAGTGAGGTATGGCGTTATTTTGTCCTAAGTAAAGATGGTGAACAATGGGCAAAATGTAAAACATGTAATAGTGTATTCACGGCAGTTACCAAAAACGGGACGGGACACTTATCTAGACACATGAAAGCTTGTGCAAAACCAGCTAGTGATCCAACCCAGCCCAAAATTTCCCAATTCCATCCATACGGCTTTACATACAACTATGAGAGGGATAGGGATGAACTAGGAAAAATGTAGTACACGCCGAACAACCTTTTCTTTTCTCGGAAAGTGACGCATTCAACACCTACATTAACAAAGCACTACAACCCCAACATAAAAGAATCTCTAGGAAAACCGTTCGTTCCGCCGCAATGAAAAATTTCCTAGAGTACAAAGTCCGATTACAAGCCGAATTGAGTAACCTTAACTGTAGAGTATCTTTAACAGCCGATTCTTGGGATAGTGGTTATAAATATCACTATTTATGTGTGACTTGCCATTGGGTAGATGATCAATGGATGTTACAAAAAAGAATAATACATTTCAAAATGCTGGAATACCCACACACCGGCATTAACATTGCTCACCATTTAATGCAAGCAATAGACGAATACAACCTTCGAGATAAAATGATGTCTATGACTTTTGATAATGCAACCTCTATGACATACACAGCTAATCTTATCAAACAAAACTTAATCGATGTACTATTAGACGGTGAAGCTCTTCATACTAGATGTGTTTGCCATGTACTTAACTTATGTGTACAGGATGGAGTTCGGGCAATTGGCCCATACTACAGCAAAATCAGAGATGCTATTATGTCTATTAATAGCTCTAACATGAGATACCAAGAATGGAAGAGTTTTCTAAAACAACAAAAGATAAGGGTAATAAAAATTAGAACCGATTGCCCAACTAGGTGGAATTCCACCTATGACATGTTAACAAAGGCAATTGAGTACAAGGGCCCGTTAACATTATTTTACAACCAAAAATTTCCACA